ATAGGACTAAAGCTTCTGCGTGATAACAAAAACAACACTGTGTCAGTTGCACTGTTAGAACACATACGAAATGGAACTAGCGAGTCTAAATGGATTCAAAGAACAGCCACTCATATTAAAATAATGGGACTGCACGATATATATACAGATGAAAGAGTACAGCACTTCCTTCCACCCTGGCAGATGGTATCTTTTGACATCCTGACCCATGCATACCCCACCAAGAAACTAATCACAAACAACCCTCATGCTCAGCTTGCTGCTAAATTAAGCACCATTGAACACATTCACAATATACAAGCTGAAAACAACATAGCACAGACCATATACACTGACGGATCACTCAATACAGCTTCAGGGAGGGCAGGAAGTGCTGTTATTGCTCATCAGCCAGATGGTAGCACAATTCAAAGGAATATCCGAATTAGTAACTGGGCATCTACAATGCAAGCCGAGTTGGTAGCAATACTGGTAGCACTCGAAATTATTGACAACACTGAAGTAGACAGCTTAATTATTTCCGACTCTCTTTCCTCACTACGAGCAATAAACAGTTTGCAATCAAGTAATAACGTGCTTGTCTTGGAAGCTAGACGTAGATATATAAGGATACTTAGATAGAGGGTAAATATAAAAATGTTGTAGATTCCTTCTCACATTGGCCTGCAGGAACATGACAAAGTTGACACCCTTGCTAAGGCTGCAGTAAATAAAGACAATATTGAACGGAATCTTGAGTTATCAAATAAATCTCTTACAAGTGTCATTAGACGAGAACTCCTGGATGGATTTGAAGAAAGTACAACAGTGCAAACTGGCACTAGCAGGTCCATTGTTCATCACAATGAAATGTGTGAAGTAAAACATATGTATGGGGCAAGTAACAAAGTCAGTAGACTAACAGATGTTGTCACAGCTTGTATAAGACTTGGCTACAAGTACCTCTGGCAGTTCGGCTTGTATAGGGATCTAGATGAAGTAAAGTGTAAAGTGTGTGGACAAAGACAGGGACACACACTCAAACACTATATCTTGGATTGTAGTAAAATTGAGCCATTTAGAGATAAATCTAAGCTCAATCTGTATGATATGGCAACCTATCTTATTACCATGGATAAACTACCTGAAATCCTTGCACTGTATCCACATTTCGCTTCCAGTAGATAAACGACATATGAGATTCAGAAACAAGTAGTGTATTGTGAGGACTAATAATAAACAGAAGCTCCCCTATGACTTTGTAATATCCCCATTGGTCAAACTATTATGTATTAGCGATAAGACCTACCATTGATGTATAATGACTTACTGTAAATATATAGCTCTTGAAATAGCACTTTCTCTGTAACTAGCTGACATTATAACTATAAGGTGTGAAGGATAGATGAAATTGTTTATATAATAATCTAAGATGAGGTCTGATAAAGACCTTTTGTGCCTTCTGTAATGCTTTTTGCACTACCGCTTAGAGGATGAGTATGGGGTGCACAATAAACTAGCTGCCTTCGGCGACAACAATCAAATCAAAATCATCGCTTCTCCACCTTCCGAGTTGTGGTTTGGTCTTCACTAAACTAGTTTTACAAGGCAGTGCTTTGCTCGTTTGTCCAGATGACTAACTTACATGTCAATTGTTTAACATTTTTGCAAACTGGGTTTCGGTGCTTAATAATTAAAAAAATAATTTCCCCTCTCACTGTGGCGATTCCATTTTGCCCCATTCTTTACTTGGATCATTATGAGGCAATATAAAAATATTACAACTTAAAATTTGCAATTACATTTAGATCTATAGAAAAAATAATTACCTGTTATTTCTGGTGGTACTATTCCCCAAAAACTTACAATACAAAATGTAGTTATACAGTATTTTAGTTTTATAATAGAATCTATTTTCCAAGTACCTGTACTGTAACTCAACACCAGGCTATAAATATTCAATATGTATTAAACATCATCATAAATACAAGTAGTACACATGTTCAAAAAATTACACACACATTATATTCAAAAAGCAAAATAAATTATTCTCTATTTTTTCAAAATTTATTTTCTCCTTTGTGTGATGCTTTCTTGTAATAAATAAAAAACATCTAAAAAACAAAACAAAAGTAATTTGTTACATTTATCATTAATCATGACTGTATATCGGTAAAAATAGTGAGCACGTCTTGCGCAGGATCTTATTCCCATATTGCTGACCACTTCCCTGTAGTCACTGACAGGCAGGGCTGGATCTAACTGTTCTGAGGCCTCACCAAGAAAAGTGTCGCTATTCAAAGGCTGAACATATATATGTAGACAGCTCATATCATAATACTGTATATGTAATGATTAATTATCAAAGTTATATTATGCATTACTCCAAGTATTATCTGATGTGTGTCCATTTTTATGGTACAAAAAAAAAAAATTCTGGTGGGCCCTAGGCCATATAGCCTCCTTGGCCTATTGGGTAATTCAACCATATTGATAGTTAAGATATAAGTCTGCTGTATCTGCTGGTGTCTGTTTCTTATGTTGCTAACTGGTTCAAATTATTTTGGATGTATTTTGCAAACTAATATATCGTAGTGAAACAATTTTTTTTCACTATTCAGCTCTCACCAAGTATTGCTGTAAAATGATTAAGACTGAATCCTTTAATTCCTTGAAATGAAAAGGTAACAGCAAAGATTAAAATTTTTAAGATTTCTTATTTCATACGTGTAATACCAGGGGTATATTAGGTGTAGTTCATAAAACAAGATTTGAAAATAAAATTACTGAACTATTTGTTAGATATAAATAAATGGGAAACATATGCTAAACTATATAAAAAAAAATTATAGAAATCCTCCTCCCCCTTGCATAGAAAATTTTTGAAATAATAAAAGATCCTTTTCTGGTGGACCCTCAGTAGCTTTTAGAGATTAAGTACTAGAAGCTACAGAAATTACAGAAAAATCAGGGAAGCTTAAGAATAAGAGATCAACACAAAACTGAGGAAAATCCATCATAAAGAATAGGTGCAACAAAACAAGTGACTGTTTGTAAATTAATAACCCAGAGGTAAACACAACTATTTACTGTTTCAGGATATAAATACCTCAGCAACATGTGCCTGACCTCCATCAGATGACAGCACAGGTCACTCTGAGTCTCATCCAGCCGGCTTCATCATTAACAAACTGTCTAAACAGAACTCTACAATACCCATACTGGAAAGAAGATAACAGGGCAGAAATGGAAAGTTACTGAAAGCCCAACAGAAAAGGGATTTTTATTACAGTTAACACTGTTTCAGAAAGGGCCCACTCAATAGGTTCCTTACAAAAGTGCCCAATAGCTTCTACTACAAAAGTAGTAGAAGAGGCTGCCTTTCTAAACAAAGATAAAGCTCCAAGCAAAGTGACACCAGTCTTTACACCTACTTTACAAATGAGCTGCAGCAAAACACAAAGAACCTGAAGAAAAAAAAATGGTGGACACCCTTAAATAAGAACCCCCATGGGAGCCAGAAAGCACAAACCTCACAGGGATGTGAAAGCTGAAACCAGAAAAAATCCTGGTGTCTCGCAAGACCAACAGAGGACCAAAGGCAAACCAGAGAAAGTCATAGGCATTGCAAGAAACTCTAGAAACCAACAGCTAACAAATACTGACTAAGTCAGATAACTTCTGGCAACAAAACCCAGAAACAAACCACAACTCATGAACAAAATGCTTAACAAAATTTGAACTAGCCAGGAAAAAAACGTCACAGGGACAGTACACCACCACCAGGGATTTCAGAAACCCAGTAATGAGGGAGTCAACAATTTTGCCACAACAACTGACAGGTAGTCACAAAGTATGCCCTGTGCCAACTGAAAAGCAGCCAAAGATGAGATATGGAAGAGCAGCAGCTATATACACATATCCCCTGTTGGCAGAAAACTCTATGCCTTGTCAAACATCTGCTTAACACATAGTTAGGCAGATGTTTGTGTCCCCCCTCTGGAATCCCCCTACGAAGGCCACCACCAGACCCCCCACTTCACACAAAAACCAAATCAGTGCCAGACACTGTGCCTGAAGATCCAACCAGAGAATGAAAACTATCAACTTCACTCTGACCCCAGGCATTGTATCAGTATAGGCTAATGAAGATAAATGCCTGATGGAAGTATTAGGACTCAATATTCCAGTGTTCCCAGGCAAAGCAGGAACCAAAGCAGACATCCATTCATTGTCAAGGTTGAACCTAGAGTCTTAGACAGGGTATTTTTCCTGTGGCAATAATTTTTTGCCTTGTATACTTCAGTTACTAATTTATTTTAAGAAGTTGTTTGATTTGTTGCACATACCTTTTCGGGTGGGTATCCTCAGGTTTGGGTTGATCTAGGGCACCCAGAACACAATGGTGGGTCTCAGAGGCCTGGTACAATTACTAAGGCTTGGCAGTACTAGCAGTTAAGCTCAGAGAGCTACTGAAGGGGACTCCTCCTAAAAAATTCTAAAGATGGTATCCATAAAATTTATAATGAGATGAAAAAAGGCTGATCATAGCATTTGAAACACATTTGTTGTACAATACGTTTCACCTTTTCTTCAAGAGAGCCGCACACCCCCCTTCTATGCTACAAGTGGAAAACGTGGCACTAATTATGACCACATTTACTAAAATCTACATATTTCAATTTCATATCCAGTGTGTGTGTGTGTGTGTGTGTGTGTGTGTGTGTGTGTGTGTGTGTGTGTGTGTGTGTGTAATTACCTAAGTGTAGTTACAGGATGAGAGCTACGCTCGTGGTGTCCAGTCTTCCCAACACTCTTTGTCATATAACGCTTTGAAACTACTGTGTGTGTGTGTGTGTGTGTGTGTGTGTATTTTTTTATTATATATATATATATACCTGTATATATATATATATATATATATATATATATATATATATATATATATATATATATATATATATATATATATATATATATATATATATATATATATATATATATATATATGTATGTATGTATTTTTTTAAGAGTATAATTAGACTTTAATCCACGATGATACATAAACAAAACTGACATGTGAGGAGTCACAACCGAGGCATGAATAATTATATCTGCTGCTAACAGTGGTGAGTGTGGCCTTGTTCACACACGTGCTCCCGGCATCAATTTACACATTACTCTCAACTGATTTCTTACACTTAGCTATCAATTTTATAGCTATCTGTATCTGTGAAATATGTCTATGTAGATAAACATACCACATTTGAGTTGAAACTAGCTAGGATAATGAAATTTTATATTCAACTTTGATAAAAATTGGCAAAATGGTACTTTTCAAGGTTGAACAAATTGTTTGAGAAATATATGATGAAAATATTTTATTAAAACTTTTTAGTACCCATTAATGCAACTAATCACAACTGCATACTAAGATAAGCCCCCATCAAGTTCACTGGCCGGTTTTTATACCGTTTGGAAATATGCTCCTGAATGTGGGACTGGAGCTCCTTGGTGCGCTCAATGATCAATGCGAGCTTGGGCGTAAGAATGCGCTGTTCCTCCGCAGTGTCTTCTTTTCGTTGCACAGCAGACTGTTGGGATTCAGCTAGTTTGTCACCAATAGCAAGTTTGGATTTGAGAGAATCTGCCAGCCGATCCACATATCTGTAAAAATGAATTAAATGTTTAGCAGTCATTCAATACATACCATATGCATTTGTCCTGATGATTGATAACAAAATTATAAGGAGTCAAATTCAATAACACTCATTTTGGTTAAGTCTATGCCAAAACAACCACCTGATAATTGTAGCCACCACCGTTTCTGACTAAATGTGCCACATATAAAATTGTTTTAAAGTAAAACATTATCAGCATTACCCTATTGGGAGGTCACCATAACCTATGTTTTCCAAGACAAAGGTTAAGATGACCTTGTTTCCGTGATGGGTTATTTATGTTCGACTAAATTTAGTAATTTATCAACATAAATTCATAGTTTTTTTTTAATTGGCATAAAAAAGCTGTTCATGGGTTTTGGAGTTTGGGGTGCAATTAGCTGTGGGTGTAGCTCATACCAACCCCGAGGATTGCCTATTCCACGCTGGCAGCAGACATATTTTATCTATTGCTTCGCACCAGGGATCAGTTGCCTTGTGTTTCTCTTGGAAGTGTACATATATTTATCCTAAGGATAAATATAAAATGAATCCCAAGACCCCAGTCTTGGATCCTTTTAGAGTGTGGTGATGTCTTTGTCTGATCAGGTATGAGATGTGGAACTTGGCTCTGCCCCAGAGTTTTCACTTAGGATTTCAAGGGCTGGGGAGGAGCCACCTAGGTGGGTCCCTAGGTGCCATTCAACCTGTCCTGATCTCTGGCTTCTACTGCAGGGAATCTTCCCTATCCTTTGTTGCTGTTTGAGTTTGATTCCTCAGCTGCTTGTTCCTGGTTCCATTAGAGTCCTCAGATGGGAGTCCTCCCACAGAAACTGTACTAGAGTCAAACACAAAAGTGTATATATATACATGACATGACCCATTCTCCTGTTTAGAATGTACTTTTTGAAACACTGCAGATCATTATACATATATTGACATGCTGGACAATTAAATATTAGAATTTGGTACTATTCACTTTATGGAGCCCAAAAAACTAAAGCTAAACACCAAACTTAAATATTCCTAGGCCTAGCATAGTCATTAGCAACATAAATACAAAACGTTTTCCCCATGTCCAAATTCAATCATAGCAAATCCTACTTTATAATTGTCCATTACGTCAATATATGCATGATGGTCCACATCAATACAATAAGTAATATCTAAATGGGAGGATGGGCTGACAAAGGCATCAACAATAGCAGGGTCTACTACTCATTTAAACTTCAACTTGTATACTATGATACCTTGGTGACGAACTAATAAGATACAGATGCTGCAGCTTTGTTGTTGACAGTTTGGTCACTAAGGACTTGACTTGTGATAGCATTTCTCTCACTTGATCTGCTGTATGATCTTGGACTGATGGTGGTGCATTAGTGAACTGATTGAAGGAGAAAACAGAACCCTCACATTCTAGCTCTGAGAGACGCTGTCCTAGAAATCCTTCAAGCTGTGGGAAATGAAAATAATGTATAAAAATAAAGCAAATCTTAGTTTGGCTACATAAAAGGTATTTATTATGTGAAATTTTACTCGAGTGTGATTGAAGCTACGTACCTTGTTACAGCCTGGATTGATCAGAAGTGTTTGGATATAAAATCACACTTCCTAAAGATGGATACAATGCCAGTATCATCTAGATTGTCTTCAGTGGTACTTTATGTCTGCATAATAGTTGCTTTTAGTCATCACCTGGCTTTGTCTTGTTTTTTTAATACGAGTTTATCATCTAATGTAATTGGGTTCATAAAATTTTATGACATATATTGATGGTATTATGAACCATGTTCCTAACCAAGGCAATGACACACAGTTGGACCACCAAAACCTGAGCCCAAATATCAGTCCATGACATTACAAAAAACCATGCACAGAACCACAAACTTATGAACATTATGGGTCTGAGGGTACACCACAGGCTGGCTGAACTTGACAGTGTGGACAACTTGAGAAACACCCTGGAACAATGAACTTACAAACAAAGCCTCCTCCCTGTGCACTATTAGTAGTGCAGAGATAACAGGTAATGGACACAGCAAATTATGTATCCCCCAACTGAAAAAACTAAGGGGCTTATCTTGAGGTTATCTTGAGATGATTTCGGGGCTTAGTGTCCCCGCGGCCCGGTCCTCGACCAGGCCTCCACCCCCAGGAAGCAGCCCGTGACAGCTAACTAACTCCCAGGTACCTATTTACTGCTAGGTAACAGGGGCATCAGGGTAAAAGAAACTCAGCCCATTGTTTCTCGCCGGCGCCCGGGATCGAACCCGGGACTACAGGATCACACGTCCAGTGTTCTGTTCACTCAGCCACTGGCTCCAGCAAAAAAGAACCATGGAGAGAAGAGCTAAAATCCTGTTTAGAAACCAAGAAGGTTCGGGAGGAGTATGAGCAGGCTGGAGGTGAAAAACCCAACCGCTCGAGCAACAGCCGAATGATCCGGGACCCCCCAGAACACCTGAAGGCAGGACCGCAGCCACAGCAACACCTCCAGAGGGAGAGACACGGACACGGCCGAGAGTCCCAAACAAGATCCAGCCAGGTCCGAACCTGGGACAAAACCAGATTGGACTTCCTCTAGTTCACCAGGAACCCGAACCCGGCGAGCTAGGAAAGAACCACATCCCTGGCGAGCAGACAAGCGGACCTGCTGGGAGCCCATACCAGCCAGTTGTCGAGGTAGGCCAGAACAAGAAGTCTTAGCAGACGCAGATAAGTCACCACGACCCGGATAAGATGCATGAATATGCGAGGTGTCAGATTCAAGCCAAAAGGATGGCAACAAAAGTGGTAAGCCTGATGCCCCACTACAAAACCTAGCCAGTCCCTGAACCCTGGTCAAATAGGGGACATGCCATTACGTGTCCTTGAGGTCCAGGGACACCATCCAAGCACCCGGCTCCAAAAGAAGCCGAACCTGAGACAGAGTGGTCATCCGAAAGAAGGGGCAAGGAATCCAGGGGATCCGACGGGACAAGTCCAGAATGAACTGCAGATCCGCACAGTCCCGTTTCGGCATTGGGAACAGGCAAGAAACCCACCTGAGGGATGGGGTCGTTTAAACAATGCCCAAGCATACCCACACTGAGATGACCTGACGAAGCACAGGGAAAGAAGCCTGCCCCATCAGCCCCGAACCCCCCCCCCCTTCCCCCGAAGGAGGAGCCGCCACCCAATGCCACCATAGGCCGAATGACACAACCCAAAATGCCCACAAATCATGGGACCAAGTGCGATCAAACAGAGAGAGCCTCCCCCCATTGCCCTGTCAACAGGGCGAACTGCAAAAGGGCCAACGCCCCTTACGAGAAGCCTGCTAACGAACAGAGCAATCATCGCGCCAACCAGACGGCACCGGCTCCAAAGGCAATGTCGTCTCAGAAGCTGGCACCAATGGCCCAACTGGACCAGCAGAACCTCAAGCCCTGGCACGACTCTTCCGTGAAGATCCAGAACAGCTGTCCCGGAGAACCAATAAGTCCGACATAGGACGACAACTAGGCGAAGCCGCCTGCAGAAACCGTGTGACAGCAGACTCCGCAAACAGCAACAGACAAAACGGCGGTGAAAACCTAAGAGCGAGGGCCCAAGCGGATTCCAAGCAGAGAGCGAGCACAGCCTGAGTGAGAGAGCTACACGTGAGGTAAGAAACAAAGAACAGAGACATCGTCTCCTTCAAGATAGGTGTAAACAGCTTCAACAGTGCGGCTGATGCCTGAGCCGGCCGAGGATAGCACACCAGATGAAGGCCCGGCACTCAATGCCTCCATATCCTCCTCAAGCCATGTCAAAGACAGCTGGAGAAGGGAAAAGAAGCACAAGACCAAAACCAAATGCCCACGGGTGCACAAAACCTCAGCAACCAAGGACGCCTAAAGGGTAGGAACCTGCACGTCCAGCTGCACAAGGCCAACATCCTGAGAAAGCACATGGGCGAAAAAGCAAGCATTAAAGTGCTCCAATTTGCCTCCAGATAAACCTAAAGAACAGCAGACGTTTCTCGCCACTTAAGTGTGCGGAACCGACAGAATCCATGCCATGCCCCCAACAAAAAGAATGGGCAGTCTGCCAGCCAGGAAGACTCCAGAACCTCCAAACGCACCCAATACGGGGAAGAAAAACTAAACTCAAATAAGGACGGATCCATCACGGAGGCGGAATCTGGGTCTTGCAGGAGGTATGCAGCAAGAGCCTCTCAAACCTCCTGAGGGGAGATACGAGAGGCAGAAAACCTCCGGAAGGATGGGGCTGAGGAACCCGGGGAGGAGCCGAACTCAAATCATATTTGTACAGGGAAGGTGGGTAAGAAAACCCCTCCCTCTGCAACAACAAGCCCTGTGAAGAGGGCACTAACACTCAAGTGGGGTCAAAAGGGGGTCCAAAGCCCCCAGGTCGACTTCTCCCTAGTCCCAGGATCCCCCAAGTTGGGACCCCGGGCAGAGTAGTCCTCCACACCCTCTACCCCTGAAGAAAAGGCAGAGTCCAGGGGAAAGGCTGAAAAGAAGGGGGCCTGCTGGTGGGACCCAGAAGCCTCGGTAGGAGGAACCAGCTTGAATGCCTCTGTCCCCAATCCGAATGGGGCAGCCCCCGAAGCTGCCCAAGTCTCATTACCAACTAAACCCTGCACCGACACCGAAACCCTCAGAAGTTTGAGAGCCGAAAGCAGGGAAAAAGGTGCAGGGTGAGCAACAGGGCAAGGACCAGGGAGCGCAGTCTGAACCAAAGTCGAAGCGACTAACGCCCCCAGGTCTGGGTCCCTGTAACCAAAGTGAGGCAGCCGCAGGGCATCCAGGTGGGAAACCAATCCAGCGCGTTGCAGCAACCTAAAGCTAGCATGCAACGCGAATGCTGCCTTTACCCTAACAGTAATATCAGAATAATATTGGAGAACAAGCAGAGAACACGACTCGCGAGACTCCGGGTCAAAGGTGTCGTTGACTCAAGAGGCAGCATGACGGAGGCAAAAGAGGTGACTGTCACCCTGAGACAAGGACACACAACAACCTTCAAACTCGTACGAGGCGGGCTGGAACTCGGAAGATACATCCATAGGTCCACCGAGCCCCGACAGGGTTTTCCAGGGCCAATAGGCTGACTGCTACTGGAAAACCCGGGCAAGGTGTTGCTAACCAGTTAAGACCCAAAGCTAACAAGGGGGAGATCAAAACACTGAAACTCATGCGACATGTACAATCATGGGGGCCTAGCAGAGGACCACTAAAATATTATTAGTGGAAATATAGCCACTCCAGGCAGACCCCCACCAGGCAAGAAAACAAAAACATACGAAAAAACGAAAAACCCCGCAAAAGTATAGCTTCCCCAGAGTAAACAGGTACTGGCCACTACTAGGTGGGCAGGCTACACAGCACCTTGATGCCCCAACCAGCATGATACCACTCCCTACCCAAGGCCAAACAAGGGCCACGAAACCCCAGCTGGCCCCAAGGGCGGGGTAAATGCCAAGCAGCAAAAACCCCTACGGAAATGGTTTCCCGAACGCACCAGGGAAGGGAACCCTAACACGCAAGGGCAGTACTCACAGGGCACCTAGGGAAGGATGCCCCTAAGCACATGCAGCCCTGGCACTGATGAGGACACCTGGCCACCACACACAACAACACTGCAGAGGTCACCACAAAGGCAAAACACCGCCTTGGAAATTAATGCCAGAGAAGATGTCCGTCCCGGACCACATAAGTGAACGAACTGGAGTGGTGGGTATCTGGCATGGGGAGGGGAGGACTGTGCGGAAGAGCGGCACGGCAGTGGGGTGTGACGTTTGTTTGTTTCCTTGGGATTGGAAGGAGTTCTGCCTCTCTGTTCAGTTTTTTGTACTTTTCTTACCATGCGGGGTTTGTTTTTTTATGCCTACCTTTCTGGGTGCCTAACCTTGGTCGATGGCAGATAAGGAAAACTCCCAACTATAGGGGGGTTTTCCAGGGCCACTGCTCCCTGCAACCTCTCTGAGGGACCCAGATTCTGGCTTGTGGTCCCCGGTAGGTCGAACTCCATAAACTAATGCTCCGGTCTAATATATCACACATTAGCCTGATAGCTCCAGGGATAAACTGGTTTCGTGTTTTGGGATTATACAAGACTGTGAGGGCCTCCGTGTCCTTTGCCACTCCCCCAGCAACACCAGAGTCCTCAACCACAATATCTGCTGTAGTAATGTCATCAATCTGTAAAATACAAATTAAAAAAACATTCAATACGAATGTATTGAACATTCAACATTCAATAATAAGATTTAAACAGTTTTTAAATTTGAACTCTATTATATAACTGAACTAATGTGATGATAGTAGTATAAGCCTCCCAAAGTGCAGAATAAGCCTGCCAGAGCAGTATATGCCTCACACACCTGGAGTGACATGTGGCAAATGGAATTCAATGTGAATAAATACCATGCTACGGAATGTGGAATTGGAGAAAATAGACCACACACAACTTACAAATTATGTGGAAAGGAATTGAAGAACTCTAATAAAGAACGAGATCTAGGGGTGGTTTTGGATAGTAAGCTGTCGCCAGAGGAACACAAAGAACAGTGTGAGAGGAATGTATGTGTCTCTTTCCAACTTCAGACTTGCTTTTAATTACATGGATGGTGAAATACTAAAACTGTTTATAATTTTTGTGAGACCAAAATTGAAATATGCTGCAATTGTATGGTGCCCATATTTCAAGAATCACATAAATAAACTGGAAAAGGTGCAAAGGCATGCTGCAAAATGGCTTCAGGAACTTAAAAACAAGATTTACGAGAAGAGACTAGAGGCATAAAATGTGCCAAAACTAGAAAATAGAAGAAAAAGAGGTGATATGATCACCACTTACAAAATACTAACAGGAATTGACCAAATTGACAGAGATTCCTGAAACCAGCAACTTCAAGAACAAGAGGACACAGATTCAAGCTAAGGAAACAAAGGTGCCAAAAAATACTAGAAAGTTTTCTTTTGCAAACAGTGGTAGATGGTTGGAAGAAGCTAAGTGAGAAGGTGGTGGAGGCCAAAACCATCAGTAGTTTCAAAACGTTACACGACAAAGAGTACTGGGAAGATGGGACACCCCGAGTGTAGCTCTCATACTGTAACTACACTTAGGTAATTACACACACACAACAGTATAAGCCTCACACACACAACAGGGTAATTATAATTAATTTGTTTTGACAGGGAAAAGAAGCCTGTGTATTCAGTCCATATAGTTTGGGCTTGCATCAAAGTCCCCCAAGATTGAACTACTGTACTGACCTTTCCAGATGCAATGCCATAACAGTCACCTAACTACTACTATGTGAACAGAGGCACTGGGTGAAAACAACATGCCCAACCATTTCTGTCCTGCCCAGGAATTGAACCCACGATCACTAATTATGAGTTGAGAATGAAGCACTACGAGACTAAGGGTCTGGGAGGCCTTACAAGCAGTGGTATAAAAATCCCATCAAGCAGTAATTGTGGTGTTGTGGAAAGTGCATTCGGTACAGCCAAAAGGTCCTAATTTAAATTTCTGCAGCATGACAGTGTTTGGGCAATGTTTTCTTTCATCTAATGTCTCTGTTCATTTAACAATAAATAAGTAACAGGCTATCTAATATCTAAGACTAATATGCTATCTGTCCCTGACTATGGTAAACAAACCAAATTCCTTTATCCGTCACACTCTTTGAAGTATGAGAAGACATTGAAGCCATGCAATAAGATCAGACCTGCATTCTTGGACTCCCCAAGCACACACACACTACTGACTGAACCATGATGACCTTAAAAGTACATGTACAGTATCTCAACTAGAAGTACTACTTGACTCACTTAGGAGTTAGGAAGGCACAATTCAAGTAATATTTACCAGAAATTACCCAAGGTCAACTAACACTCTAGTGGCCTCAATGAAAACTAAGAAATTTTATTCATCTTATTTGTCCTGATGATTTTTTCTAGCTGGATTTTAAAATTCAACAGAGTTTTGGCATTTACGGCTTTTGCGGGTAGGTAGTTCTATGGGAACCATAGTTCCATAGGTAGTTCCAACACTGGGTGAAAAAAGCGTCTCCTGTTCTCAATCCTACATTGCAGCTTGTTGAGCTCGAAACAATTGTTCCTTGTTTGTGTTACATCTAACCCTTTAAGACCCAATTTGTTCAGTATTTTAAAAGTTTTGACAAGATTTGCCCTGTCATGTCTGATTTGCAGTGTTATTGGTCCTGACACCCTCAACCATTTCTGGTATGAGAGTCGACTTAGTTCAGGAATGATTTTTGTTGCCTGGTGTTAAACTTTCTCCAATGCAGCTATGTTTTTCTGAGCATGAGTTTAGGTGCCTCCTGAACTTCCAAGTAAATCAAGTAGTACTTCTGGTTGATATACTTTCTAGTTCTTCATGGCTCAGGAGGTAGTGTGAGTCCTGTATGAATGTGTGAATGTAGTCCTGGGAAGTCCAAGGATGTGGTTTGAATCCCATTTTACAGCCTCAATATTTGTTTATAAACACAATGTTCTTGTGATTACACTGTGCTCCTTCAAATATGTTTATATGCAAGCTTCAATCAATGAACTATCTAATATAAATGATACTAACTTTGAATGATGCATTGCTGCTGTTTACATTAGTATCAGTAATAAAAAAATTGACGTAAGTTTACAGACCCTTGTAAAGCAGGATCGCTTCGACCCTTCACCCAGGGTCGGACTTAGACCTGGGGGGAAGGGGGAGGCCTCTGGGGCACTTCAAATTTGGGGGGATCCCTAATTATAAAAATTAAATTTCACGACAAATAAAAGAGTGAACTACTATATAATGATGATAAACTGTGTATGTTCGAAAAACCAGCGTTGAATGTAATGAAACGCCATTTTCTGGGCGAGACCTAAAAGCTTCCCGGCGACCCTCCCTCCCTCTGGTCGGCATTTTTTTTTTTTTTTTTTTTTTTTTTTTTTGCAGTTTTGACATCCAGCATCAGAACTGCAGGTGGATAGCCGGCACGGGGGTCTGAGGCTTCCCCTTTCCCCTCCTGGGAAGGGGGTTGCGCAGACAGCAGGGCGGCGACTTGGTAAAATCATGCTCGTTTGCTTGCTTTCATTTGGGAGTTCTGTCCACTAGTTCGGCTTTCAGTAGCAATATTTTAACCAGAATAGGGGTTTGTTTTGGGGCGCTTACCTTTCTGGGTGCCTGACCCGGTTGATGGCAGACAAAATGCTTCCAACCACATGGGGTTTCAATAGGCCATTGCTCCTCGTGCCTCTCTGAGGGGGGTCAAGTTCTGGCTCGTGGTCCCCAGTAGGCCTAGAACTCCCTGTGCATTGACTGATGCCAGAGTCTAATACATTCATATCAGCTCAGTAAGTTCCGGGGAACTGAAGAGGCTCCCCCCAGAAAGTCTTTCTTTCTACACTTAGCCTCTGCAAAATCTTTAACCAACTCATCAAAGTGTACCATCTTGAGTACACTGCTCTCAACATCCAGTAGGCAAAGACCACTTGGTCTTTCATGGGTCATTGTGGTTCTCTGATAATTCTTTATCAGTGCTAATTTGCTGAACGACCCATCTATCTAATTTCTGACACATACACTTTGTAATAATAAAACTAATTTTACAGTTATTGCATTCTTTATTAAAGAAGTCTTGGGGCCCTTCTTGCAGGGAGGGACCAGGGCAACTACCCCCCTTTGCGACCTTATAAATCCAACCCTGTCTACACCCAACCACTTTCCCCTTGTGTATCTGTTCAACTTAATCTTAAAACTTTCTAAAGTGTTTGCAACAATGATACCACTGTACTTGGAGAATTGTTCCCGCCACCTGCACCCCTATTACCAAACTATGTTTTCAAAATTAAAATTTGACAAATATTATTACACTTTCAAGAAATTAATGACTTTATTTCCATTTATGGGAATACCTGCCTCCTGATAAACTTGGTTCAGTGTTGGAGCTTCTACAAAATGATAAGCATGGGGAAAAAGTCTCAATATTTCATGTCAAAACTTGCCTTCCAAGTTTATTCCACTTCCCTTCACACTCAGGCTAGTGTGCTCTCAATTTACAGGATACTTGTTACATTCTCATTCTTACTAACTAATTACTAGTTAGTAAGAATGATTCTAAGAATGATTCTTACTAACCAACAGCATGCACATCTAGTAATTTAACCATACCCCCTACAAACTATATCCATGCTTCATTCCATATTTCATGTGAAAGGTCAGGGTCAGTGGAATTGTACTCTATTTTACCTTTAAATTCATATTTATGATTGTCACTATGACCATCTTCTGTAATAATGAGAATATACAAGTAGAGTGGACATCCTGCAGCACAGTAGTCCACATCCTTGGCTCACAACCAAGGGGACCCAGATGGACATATTTCATTTCACCCAATGCCTCTGTTCACCTAGCAGTAAAATAGGTACAGTACATTGGAGTTGGCCAATTTTTGTTGGTTGCATCCTGAGAAAGGTTGATAATTGTCTTAGGTGGACCTTGATGAGTTGAAGTACAAGCTTCCTGTCTCCAACAGTGGGAATTAAATTATAACACCCAAATTTCGTTTAACACTTTCGCGGGATGAGGACTCGCCCCGGAGTCCTGTTTCGCCTACCCACTCCCGCATAGTGGACATAAACTTATGTCCTCTTTTAAAATATTTGTATAAAATTCAATTTTTATCCGATTTACTTTGGGTTTGTTTCAAACTGCGCGCCATGAGGCTCTCTTTCTCACCAATAGGCTGCATGGTACAATAAGTTCATGAAAGGTTCACAAACATAACAAAAGTAAAAACATTTCGTGTGTGTTTGATTCTCACTGATATCTTCCAGCGTTGTTTTATTTGGCGCTATTCTATCTTACGCTTTGTTGATCTTTTTTACCTACGGGCTCATAGAACATTCTATTGCGAACACATTGACACAAAAATGAATGACGTACATAGAATAATAATGTCATGAGAATGAAATAAGTATAAACTTTCAAAGCACCGTGCGTCGTCCTGTCACCGACACCGGGTAACAATTTCACCACTTCCCACACTCTTGCGGGCGGTCCGCAATCATTATTCTACGCTTATATTCATATCACCGTGTTGGGAATTTCATTGCGAGTCCATTGATACCAAAATTAACGCTGTAGGACAAGTGTGGAGGTGATAACAATCCCAAGAGTAAAAACATTTTGTTGCTGTTGGGCGCTCACGGCGAGTCATCTTCGTAGTTATTTATTTGGTGCTGGTATCCCTATATGTTTCGTGACTTTTTTTACTTAGAATTTTATTGCGAACACGTTGGTACCAAAATGAAATACGTAGCTCGAGAACTAAGGTCATGAGAGTAAAAAGAGTATACACATTTTTGTTTTTACGCTTACGCGGCAAAACGCCGTGAGCACTTACGGTTGTTTCCCTGACCTTCGCGGAGAGCGCGAAAGTGTTAAGTTAATGTGAGGAAATATGAATTATGTTGGTTGTGGTACAAAAAATTGCAAATACATTCATTTTTGGACCTTCCCAGTAAGAATTTCTGCTAATCCAGATGTCCAGCTAACTCTATAGATTAAGTGGGCTGCCTAGGTTCAAATTCTTGTAAATTTGTGAGAATGAGCTGCAACTGCCTATTGCATTGTTAGCCCTAGCTCTCTGTTGAAAGCTTCACAGTGTGTTTAACAATCAGTATCCTTTTGGAAGCAGGAGTATGATAAGCTTTTAAGAACTAATACCACCAGTCTACTCTTTATATTGGACACCCAACATGCACCATCTGAAAATAAAGGGAATACTCATTTTTTGGGTGTTTCAGCAGACTCAGATTTCAATGTTCTTTGCAGGATAACATGACATTTCTCTATCATGCATCTCAAAGAAGACAAGGGAGAAACGGCTATGATTTTCGTGCTGTAATAATCTGACAACTTCTCTACATGTATTCACATAACTGTTTAAAATATAACAATTAAATAAACTTACAGTCTACCTATACTGTACATGTATGCCATGAGACAATTTTACTACTGAAGTATTACTGTATGGTACTTGCTTTTATGTATTATGATTAGAACACGCTCCACAAGCAAGAAGACCTTGGCTTAAAACCTGGCAGTGTGATGACTGGACTATGTTCCAGTCATGTTTACTCCATTCATCCCTGTTCATCCATCAATAATTAGGAACCTAAATGTAAACTGATCGGCAGATCGTATTCAGGAAATAATCAAGATGAATGACCTAATCAGTTCTGGTACTTTCACAACAAAAACTTCAAGGAAAAGCTATTTACCCTGAGTACAGGAACTAGAACAATACTTAAGAGTAAATTCATTCTTGGGGCTAGTATCATTATTCCAAACCTAGTGAGAAAATTAGTTATAGTATTTATATCTGTACTGTACAGTAAAAGTCTTAATTTTCTGATCCTAATGGGACTCTGAGATGGTCAATTTCATTACCTGGATGGATAACTTTCATTTGCAATACAGTAAATATATTTGGATGGCTTGTATTAGAGAGAGACCCTTGTGAAGGGAGAAACAGCAGTATTAAATGTTGAAAAAACAATCTGGAACTCTTACAGTTGAAATCCCGGCCAGTACAATAGGTAGTTCTGCACATGCGCAGAGCATTGTCACAGCAAGAAAACATTATCCCCAGAACAGGGTAAACAGCAAAGTAAGTACATGTTTAAAAAGTATATTCAGTACAGGAAAATATATAGAAACAAGTGTTAAATGTAGAAAAATAGCCTGGAACATTACAAGACACATAAATGAACTACTGTATTGAGGAATGTGTATGAAACACATGTGTGCATATGAAACATTATTGGAACCGGGCGGTTAGAGAGATGAGTGAGCTCTCTCGCTCACTTGGTGTGGAGCAGCAGTGAGGAGAAGGCCCGTCGTCGCTGGTGTGACTTGTGACAGTCTCCTACAAGAACGATAAGTGCATTGTATCCCCATGTATACTATAGTGGTGCTTCCTCTCTGTATTAGTTAGTGATATGCAGTGTTAAAACAGTGATATGGAGCGTTAAAACTAAGTTTATTTATAGAACCCTGGGTGTTTTGTGTTACCTTGTTTCTTTCACCCAGAGGCCTGTAACACGTGGTCTATTCCCCATCAACTGTGATCCCCATTAGTGTAGTGTTTGTGTCAGGGCACTGTATTTGTTAAAAGCCCACGTTACCCCGTTTGTAGTTATCAAAGAAGTGTGGAGTAGAGTAGTGCCCTTAAGTCCCAGCTTGAGTGATTCCAATTGTCATTTCTTCTCTTTTTACTTCATTACTTGCATACTTTTTTTTAAATTAATCCTAATTTCTGTGTGCACACATACACACACACTCCTGATATTTGTACAGAGTGACTGCTTCACTTTAGTGATAACCAAAGTAAGTGTGGAAATCTCTAAAATATGCTCAAAGTGCTCTCTGAGTTTTTGGAAGAGAGCTTTATGAGGGAACGTGGCATCAACATACTGGGGAATATGTCCTCTTACATTCTTCATTAGTTACAGTATTTCAAATTTCGAGAGACAGGGAGAGGGTGAGCTAATTTCAGTTATCAATACCAATAGTTCGTGAAAACTATGTCCTAAATCCCAGTAAGTTACACTTTAATATTAATATGACAGGATCATTTTTTGACATGACAAACTGTTAAAATACTTTTAGACAGGAGAATGTTAGCTATAATTTTTTTGCAGGCACTCTCTCATCTGTCTTATAAAATACTAGAGAATAATTTCATACTGCCTTTGTTATTAGTTTGTTTCTACAATGACAACATTCTTAACTTTAAAAATAAAATCCATAAGTCCCAGTATTATTAGGTCCTGAATTCAAATAATGCTACTATCAAAATTTTGGGCTGACAGTCATTTACACAATTCAAATACTTACTTGATCAGTCTCTGTTTTGTCTGTTTCATCGTTCAAAGAAATATCCAGGCGTGGTTCCTCTATGCTGCAGGGAGCTTCGCCATATAGCCACTCATATGTAGTTACATTACCATGCTCTGGAAAATTAATATGTCGAGTGAAATAGTACTGATGTATGCCAACATGTTATCTAAAAATGATAGTACGTATGGCAACTACAGTATTGGTCAAATGTATAAAAATGAACTGTTGTGCTCAAAACACCAGCGTTGAATGTAATGAAACGCCATTTTCTGGGCGAGTCCCAGACGCTCCCCAAAGTTTACCGGGCTGATATGTATGTATTACACCATGGCATCAGTCAATTCAATTGGAGTTCTATGCCTACCAAGGAACAAGAGCCATAACCAGGTCCCCTCAGAAAGGCATGAGGAGCAATGGCCTATAGAAACCCCCCATGTGGTTGGAGGCATTCCATGTCTGCCATCGACCAGGTTAGGCACCCAGAAAGGTAGGCATCCCAAAACAACCACCACATGGATAAAAATTGCTACCGAAAACCGAACTATCGATCAGAACTCTCATCCCAAAACAAGCAAACAAGCATGCCACAACTGCCGCCGCGGCGCTGTCTGCGCAGCTCCCCCCCTCCCTGGGATGGGTAAGGGAGAGCCCCAGACCCCAGCGTCGGCCATTCAATCACAGTTTTGAGGCTGTATATTAAAAACGCGAATACTGCCGACCAGAGGGAGGGAGGGTTGCCTCTGGGACTCACCCAGAAAATGACATTTCATTACATGCAATACTGATTTTCTGTGGAGAGCCCCTCCGGCTCCCCGGAGCTACCTAACAACAGAAAATAAAAGAGGGACTTACACGGGAGGCAGTTGCCACTCGCACCTCAACTTGAAGTCGAGACAACTAGCTGCAACCTGTGACCCAAAGCGACACACATGCCCGACTAGGGCCAGGAACATTATCAAGGTAACGATCAACCAGGACCCTGTTCGACCTCCAAAACCCTCATGTCTGAATGTCAGCCCAAGAAATATTATTGTATTGTACCAAAAACAGCAAGCAACAAATTTGTAAACGTCATGGGTTCAAGGATAGACCACAGGCTGGCACAACCGAATAACCCTACAGACAACCTGGGAGACCCAAGCCCTGGAACAAGGAAGAAGGGAAACCAGGTCAACCCAAAGCGCGACCCAGGCCACTGAGGCCGTGGTGTGCAGATAGTGCCTAAGAGCCCCAACCGGACACAACATATGATGCACCCCCTCGGCCAAACCAACCAAGCATCAACCACCCAAGAACCCCTCTGGAAAACTGCCGTCTCGTTCTTCGCCAGAAAAGGAGGAGACTCCTGCAAACAAACAAACCTACCACCAGGACCGAAAGAGCTGAAACCCATGCACTGTTGGAGAGCATGAAGCTCCCCAACCCGACCCCCAGAGGCCAATGCCAACAAGAAAAAGAGCCTTATAAAAACAATCCCAAACCGAAGGGCCACCACAAACTGAGGAGAAGAGAGAAAGAGAGCACCTAGACCAACAACCAGGATGGCTCAGGCGGCGCATGGGCAGGCCGGAGGTAAAACAATGCACGAGACAGCTTGCAAAACGGAGCACAAGTAACATCCACCCCAAACCCAAGCAGGACCGGCTCCGCCAGAGCCGCACGATACAAGGCGACAGTATTTGGCATTACATGACGGTCCTGAAACAGCCATGATAGAAAGGACAAAACAATACGATCCGAAACTGAAGACAATCTACGAAGAGACAAAAAATTATGAAAGGACTGCCAGGAAACCTCTCACTGCTGCCGATACAAAACACGCAGATGAGACATCATCAACGAAGCCACCTGATCACCATACAAGTGGTGATAGATCCGCATCAGAAAGACCAGACATGAAGATCGGAGGAAAAGATCGAACCAGCCACGTATCAGACCGAACTGGAGGACGCGGAGCCGTGGAAAAGTCCCTAGGTTTGGACACCGACCAAGCAGCGTCAGAAACCAAGGCTGGGCTGGCCACCAAGAGGCCAACAGGACAACTCTGCCCTGGTAAGTCTCAAACTGAGCCAGAACACAAAGCAACAGCGACGATGGGGTTCCCCCCATCCCAACTGGGGGGAGGGGGGGGAGAGGTAAGGGTAACCCCACCTTGACCAGTCATGTCAAAAGGCATTGACCCTGACGGCCTCACAGTTGGGGAAGGGCGTCACATATACTGGGAGATGCCTCGACCACGCTGTTGCGAAGAGGCCCACCTCCGGGCACCCGTACATTTGGCAGAGCCAACTGAACAAGTTGGCATTGGTCGTCTATTCCAAGGAATGGGGAATGAACAGAGACAGGCCATCCGCCAGGATGTTGGACACCCCCTGGATGTGAACCGCCAGAAGAGCCAAACCCCAAGAACTCAGGAGATGAGTCACCCGAAGCAACCAGCCCCAAAGTGCCAAGAAACGCATCGAATCCCCTCTCAGTTCAGACAATGAACCACTGGGTTGCAGTTCGAATGAAGCCGGATCGTCGATCTGCGAATGACATGAATCCTCAAAAGCAACAGCCACACTACCATGAACTCCCACACCGTGTTGTGAGCCTGATGGAAGGAAAGACCCCATCGACCCTGGCCGGCCTGGTGAGTACTGGTCACAAAACCCCAGCCAAGAGACGACACATCCGTGTACACATTGATTGAGGGCGCGGGTAGGCGCCACAGCACTGAACCCCGAAAAACCTGAAGAGGATACCGGCGATGCAGCAGCTGATGCAAGGCCCTCGGAGGTCGAACCCAATGATCACGAAAGTGGCGGAAGGGGCGTCCCCGAAGGCACCAGAACAGCCGCCAAAGCCAGATCCAACCCGGCGGCTAAACCAGCACAGCGAAGTTCAGACTCCCGCACAGCTGCTTCAGCAACCGACGATTGACCCTGGGAGCCCGTCAGAAACAGCCGAAGGCGCAACCACGGCCGCAGCAATGATGCCATAGGGAAAGACAAGGAAGTGATCCGAGAGTCCCACACAAGATTCGGCCAAGTCCCAACCTGAGAGGGAGCCATATGGGACTTTCTCCAGTTCATCAAGAACCCAAACCTGGCAAGCAGACATGTGGACCAGCTGGTAGCCCATACCAGCCAGTTGTCGAGGTAGGCCAGAACCCGAACCCCTAGCAGACACAAGCAGGTCACCACGACTCAGGTATTGCGTGTGAAAATGCGAGGTGCCAGATTCAAGTCAAAAGGAAGGCAATGAAAGTGTTAAACTTGTCGCCCCATGACACATTCCGAGCCAGTCCCTGAGCCCCGATTTAATTGGGACGTGCCAATACACATCCCAGTGGTCCAGACATACCCAACGATCCCAATTTTCCCCCCTGGAAAAAAAAATTTCAGGGGGGTATTGCGAGGGTTGTGATTAGTTCTTTTGCATCATAATGAGTTGACTGCTCAGTGGCGGCCTACGTTAGACTCACCACTGTCTTTCTTCTGAAAAAGGCATGACAGGACCACTTGCAAAAATATTTGTTATGATTGTACAAGAATGTAACAACTCTTGTATATATCTCAAAAAAAAAAAAAAAAAAATTGTAAAGAGTTATGGACCCTGGCAGTTGTTATGAGTTCTGAGCGAACCATTCAAGGAGCCTTAGGTCAGAAAGCACATTTTAAATCTTTAAGTGAGTGTACTTTTGTTTTCTGGCACTGAATTACTGACTCAATGTACCTCAGCCAAATGTAATTCAGCTTGCCTGGACCTTTTAAATTTTCCATCATGATACCCAAGTTCTTGCCTGGATCAGCTTTTGTCTGTTGCATCCTGAAATCCACAAAAATAGAATCCATTTAAGTACTGCAGGCAAGTACTCATACATTTAAATAAATAACAATACTGTACATACATAGTTGTTTACATACCCATAACAAACTTAAGCAATGGTAAACATTCAGATTGGGTATCCTTCACAGTAAATGACAGAAAATCCGAATACAACTGGCGGGCAGGGGCAAGGCTCTTGCTGCTTTCGGCAATGGTGGAAAATTCCTCGGGAAGCGTCTTCAGAAGATCAACCAGCTCATGTTTTACCTGCCAAAATAAAAACATACACACTGTATTTCCACACTTCTTGATTTTCTTTTTTAAATATGTTGGACATCTCTTCACTTTAAAGAGGAAATGTAAATTGCATTTAGACACCCAACCCAGAAATCTGAAAATGAAGAATTCATAGCTCTGTTACACACCATGCCTAACACGATTCCTAGTTCTGGATTTTATGTGGTTGACTGTTCTCTTTCACAGCTCATATGCTCTATCTTGACAAAAGTGATCTGATTTAGCTTTGCCCTTTGTAGGTTCTCTTCCCTTTCTTTCTGTTAAGTTGCCAGCTCTATTTTTCTATGCCATTTGGCCACCTCCAGTTTTCTTTATTATATATATTTTTGCCCTCTTATTTTTTCCTAACTTTTTCTTTTTTTTGCTACTCGTCTTGAGCACCGTTAAGCAGAGCATCCTGTGTCTTCAGAAGAAGACAAGACGTGTACATAAGTGTAGTAATAGTAACAGCGTGTGACTGTTTATATTTATTTATTTATTTATTTATTTATGCATATACAAGAATGTACATAAGGAATGTGAGGATACAATTATGGTAATTACAGTCTTGTAAAGCCACTAGCACGCGCAGCGTTTCGGGCAGTTATATATATTTATTTATTGGTGGTGGTGAATATATATTTATTTCTGAGCAGTTTTATCCCTTCCCCTTTAAGTTACTTGCGTTACGGAGCACACCCCTTGAAAGCCACTACTAGCTTGGGGCCGGATACCCAAACTCTACTAACATCAGAGAAAGAACCCAGTTGCGACTCTAGAGGGCCGTAACAGATGACAGTACTGTACTTCATTTTTACTTTGTAAAATTTAAGTCAAAATAAATGAAAGAAGAATTATTACAAATATTCTAACCTTATCACCAGCAATGCCAATTTGCTTGCACATCTGCAGGTATTTTTTCTTTGAATCAGCAATGCCACGAATGCATTCTTCTTGCTTGCGATCACAATCCTGAAAAGATAAATGAATACACTGCTTGAAAACATCCTTAAATTAATTTAGTGTTATTGCATGAATCAGATCACGATACAGGTTAAAAAATCAGCGTTAAATGTAATGAAACGCCATTATCTGGGTGACACCTGGAGGCTCCCTGGAGCTATACTGGGCTGATGTGTATATATATTAGACCATGACAACACACAACTGATGGAGTTCTAAGCCTAACGGGGACCAGCATCAGAACCTGGCCACCTCAGAGAGGCATGAGGAGCATTGGCCTATAGACACCCCCCGAGTAGCTGGAAGCTGGAAGCAGTCTATATCTGGGAGCCAGACGAGCATATAGGGCATAGTCCCTAAGCACAAATTTGGTGCCCATAATAAAACAATGAAAACAAGCCAATGACCACAGTTTGTAAACACAAGAGTGAGGTAATAATATACAGAAGTACAGTACAGTACCACAATCTTGTACACAAGACAAGACTGCCCCGGAAACACAAGACCGGGAGACATGACCACCACCCAGAAGTCCTCAGGGGAATGGACAGGGTAGAAATGATGGATGAATCAATATGATTGGTACACCCATAATGGAACACAGGTTGTAATCAAGTACCTAAAGGAGCCAGGTGTCCAAACTAGTTCCAAAAATAGTTCCGATCTACAAAAGTGGCAGCAGGGTAGACCACCTCAATTATTGACCTGTATCACTGACAAGTGTAATAGTTAAAATATTGGAAAAAATAATTAAAACTAAATGGAAAGTACATCTGGAGAAAAATTATATAACAGTATGGTTTTCGATCTGGAAGATCCTGTGTAACGAATTTACTCAGTTTCAATGAAAGAGCCACAGAGACTTTATAGGAAAGAGATGATTGGTTGACTGCATCTATCAGTACCTAAAAAAGGCTTTCAACAAAGTTCCACATAAGAGGTCGATCTCGAAACTGGAACATATTGGAGGAGTGACAGGGAGACATGGATGAAAATTTTCTGACAGAAAATGAGGGCAATAATCAGAGGCAATGTATATTACTGGAGAAATGTCACGAGTGGAGTACCACAGGGTTCAATTCTTGCACCTGTAATATTCATTGTCTACATAAACAATCTACCAGATGGAATATGGAATTATATGAACATATTTGCTGATGATGCTAAGATACTAGGGAAGATAAGAAACTTAGACAATTGTCACGTCCTCCAAGAAGACCTGGACAAAATATGTGTATGGAGCACCACTTGGCAAATGGAATTTAATGTGAATAAATTCCATGTTATGGAATGTGGAATAGAACATAGACCACATACAACCTACAAATTATGTGAAAAATCTTAAAAAAAAAATCTGGTAAAGAAAGAGATCTAGGCGTGGTTCTAGACAGAAAACTATCACCTGAGCATCACATTAAGAACATTGTGCAAGGAGCCTATGCTACACTTCCCAATTTCAGATTTGCTTTTAAATACAGAACATGGATGGTGAAATACTAGAGAAATTGTTCACGATGTTTGTTAGACTAAAGCTGGAATATGCATCCGTTGTATGGTACGCATATCTTAAAAAGCACATCAACAAACTGGACAAAGTGTAAAGGCATGCAACTTAATGGCTCCCAGAAATGAAGGACAAGAGCTACAAGTAGAGGTTAGATGCACTAAATATTCCAAAACTAGAAGATAGAAGAAAAGAAGTGATATGATCACTACTGTATGTACAAAATAGTAACAGGAATCGATGAAATTGATAGGAAGAATTCTTGAGACCTGGAACTTCAAGAACAAGAGGTCAAAGATTTACATTAACTAAACAAAGCTGCCGAAACAGTAAGGTTTACTTTCGAAAATAGAATGGTAGACAGTTGGAACAAGTTAGGTGAGAACGTGGTGGGGGCCAAAACCGTCAGTAGTTTCAAAGTGTTATATGACACGAGTAGTGGGAAAATGGAACACCACGAGCATAGTCCTCGTCCTGTAACTACACTTGGGTAATTACAACTGACAGTTGAGAGGCGGGACCAAAGGGCCAAAGCTCAACCCCTGCAAGCACAACTAGGCTAGTATCACACAATAGCAGAGCTTCCTGCAACAACAAGGCATCCAAGAAACTCTACATAAAGCCAGAGATGACAAGACAACCAAGAAACTCTATATGAAGCTGAAGATCTAAAGACATCAAAGAAATGCTACAAATAGCCAGAGATCATAAGGCATCCAAAAAATTACTCTGCATAAAACTAAAGAGCCAAGAGTGTCAACAAGATATACAGAAAAAAGATAAATACATATTTATCCATATTAACGTACCTGCTGTATTTGAATTCCCTTAGAAATCTGTCGCTTGATGCTTGGCACTTCGAAGTTCACATTTCGCACCAGCAGCTGGGCAGCTTCAGCCAAATACACATTATCTTTTTCATATAATCGGATCACTTCCTGCCAGTCCTATAAACAAATTTAAAGTATAAAACTATTTATCAAATAATGAAGATGTAAGTAGCAACCCATGGTATTAATAAACTAGAGAGTTCAAGATTAAGGGAAAACAAACAAACTGAGCAGCAGCACATACATACAGTACTGTAACCATACACAGATGTAAAGTGCCATCTCGAGTCCATCTCGGGTACCAAACAAAGTTGTTAACCTATATGAGAGGCTTCCTAGGGCTACACAGATGTGATACAGGTATAGTAATTTCAGCTAGTGCATGGAAAAGGTGTGATTTTTGGCCCCGGAAACCTCAAGCTCATATCTCCTATTATGATATTCTTGAGAAATATGATTTATCCATGGCCATCTCACATAGGTTGTGAAGTCTAGTACTGTACACATATAGTTAACTCACCTTGACAAAATGCTCAATCGATAGAGCGGGGTTCGTTAGACTGAGGAAGCACTGTAAATTGGTGTTGCACCAGGATTTAATTGATTCAGATTAATTGAGGGTTACTGCTGAGAAGATAAATGCAACTATTATATGAGTGGATTTATGGGAATATTCTTTGTTGAAAAACTTTTAGTAGAGTAAAAGCCTAATGAGTTCTGATAATAAGTATTGAGAGGTGTCACCACATTGTCACTGAATTTCACCAGTGTTGCCACATAGTGGCATTTATGATATTTTTGGCCCTAAGCCAGTGTACTCTGATTTCAAGTACAGTATATTGTTTTATACTTTTAATTAATGTATTATGCTTCACTCCTATCTTCACCCTCTATATTGTTTGCCTGGGGCTGGGTTGGAACACTGAACATGATTAAGAAAACTGCAGGCTGAGCTATATACCACTGTACCAACAGAAATTATCTGGCTATGATTAAAGTACTAGCCAGACTGGCAACCTAGGCTATCAGTTTTTGTGGCAGGCAAATCGGCAGTAAGGGGTCCAAGTCAGAGCCGGTGTAGGCATAGATTGGAGACTCGGAAGCCACCAGTTTACACTATTTTGCTCACCTCGGGATTTCAAGGCTGAGTGTGGGACGCTTCCCCTGGATTGACTGACGTGCTCCTCTTAAGTGGATAGTGGCACTGTAGGGGGGGTGGGGGAATAAGACCTGAAGGAGTGTACCTCACTCTAGAAACTTAATTAGCTCCATGATCATCCCTGCAGCAGCAAAGACGAATCATTCAGCAGTGAGCCCCATTCATCAAGAGTGTGAGGAAAAGCCTGTGTGTGAATGTGTGATGTGGCTATATCTGTTGAGCAAGTACTCTGTTTTAATAGTGTACACTGCGAGGTAGTATCAGTGTCGAGCGTAAACTGCAGCAGCTCCTCCAGAGCTGCACAATTCAAAGCAAGAATATTCGGCATAAGATGCAGATCACGAAAAAGCCAAGATAGAAAGAAGAGCGTCAAATGCTCATTTTGTACTACAGTATTACTTTTGTTGAAGCCACAAAAAAGCCAAACCCCAAAGTTAAAGAGTCCTAGGCCTAGTATAGCATATATATGTGCTATATTAGGACTAAGAATATATAAGGCATGAGATTGCTGGCATAGATTAGACTACATTATGTTAGGTACTTTAGTTACTTTCCCAATGTTTTTGAGTGTCATTAAACTAATTCATTAACACAAAACCTGAACTTTTTTGAGTCCAACTGTCCATTATTATACATTCGACCAAATACAGTACAGTACTTGCCATAGGTCCAGTACTATCAATTTAAGAGAATAGGCTGCACAGTCATACAGTACTGTATTCAAATTAAAGATGCAACTAATGTACCAATCATCATCAGTATATTCTGCAACTACTCACATACAACATTATAACTTTTCTCTCAACACTCTTTATTTCCATGTACAGGTAGCTAAATTGTAATGAAATACAAGTACACAAGCTTTAATATACTGTACTTAAGTAACATTATTATAACATTACATTGAGTACTAGCTTACCTTCATGCGTTGAGAGCCATACCATCCCAAGATATTTTTGGTATCTTTTTCTGTCTCTTTCAATATCTCAACAATCTTCAAACAGTGAAAGTAATTGATATCTGAAAAAAAGAAAACAAAAATAACTTGCTATGTTATAACATTTTAATTTGTTTTACTGTGCAAGGCCATTTTCAATGCTTCCCAAGTCATATTCAGGACATCCCATGTTGTATCCAGGACACTGCTCACACAGATTCCTGTCGACGTTTGCCTTACTGTGATAAGGAGTTTTTCAAAGGGTCTTGCCAGGCAATTGAGAAAGAGGGAGGAGACAAACCTCAGTCCCCAACCAGAGGCTTTGCTCACTGTAAGACAAAAGAATTGAACAAACCCATGCAAGAACCCTTCAAACAATCTTTGGGATCACCAAGATTGCAAATTACAGTATTGCTGTGCTAACTATAGGTTAATGAACTACCTGCTACACTGACATGCATCAGATAGCAATATTAGCTACCACATCAGTGTTAGCAGAGCCAGCTACCTTCACTTTATGCATGGTGTCTACCTGCTTTGCACCTAGCTCTGCAGACACAATTCTTTTAACTGAACTTGTTATTTCTAGAGACTCAAGTCTGTACAGGAGATGCATTGCCTTTGTGACCTCTTCATAGTATGGTACCCAGTCATTTTCATTTCTCTGACTATTGCAATTTGCTTCAGCTTTGTTTCAGTTATTTTTTATAGGGTCGATTGTTGAGTAATGAGTCTCCAGTTATCTTCTTTGCAATTATTTGGTAAAGACTTCAGCATGACCTGGCTAATCTTGAGTTTAGCAACAAATGTTAGGACTGTCACTGGTCTTGGCCTTTGTGCAGAGCTCCCTTGTAGAACACAATTAGATTGTGCATGTTCTCTCTGTCATAGGATTGTGTGGCAGCTCTCCATAGCCATGCTTCTGCTTGGTGAAAACATTTACTTTTATTGATTTCATTTTTTGGTTTAGTCCATGACTGTCCTTGCACTTCTCCGCCATTAGTTGTAAGTACATGCCTCTTGCAACTTGGTTACCTCTTAGGTTTTGTCTTAGGGTTGGGTGGTCTATGTCTTTTGCTTCAGGTTTTATTTTTTGTGTCACACCTCAGCATGCAAGGGCTTTATGTCATATCCTACTAGGGGATGGTCATCAATCATTTTTACTAAAACAGCAATCCCTGTTGTCCCCAGCCAACCTTTTGATGGTTGTGGAATCAATTTCACCTGTGTGTGTATGACAGATGTCAATGGTGAACTTCATTTCTCCTCGAATTGCCTCCTCATTCATCTGGAGTTTGCTTTACTGCCCTCGTTTTATAAGAAGGTTACCAAGGTTTTATTTCTCAAAACTTGTCTCGTCTAGTCTCACCATGGTACAGATCACCCCTCCTGTTTTGACTAGGAGCCCTGGCCTAGTACCCAGCCTCCTCTGCTGATGCAGTCCATATAGTACAGTGGTCAACCCAGCCTTGCCATAACCGAAAGGTCTCGGGTTTCTGATTCCCACACCAGAACAGCATTTGGCAACTTCCTTTCTCCTGATGCCAATGTTCATCTTGCAGTAAATAGGTACCCAGGAGTTAGGCCACTATTGTGGGTTGAATTCTGTGGAAGGTGAGTAGTTGGCCTAAGGAGGACCTCAATAAACCTAAAAAGACTTCATTTCCTCAACAACGGACACCAAACCATGAACAGGCATCTGAATGATGATATTTGGGAAATCTTCCCTCACAGGATTTGTTTTGCAGATGTTGAGCCCTACATGAAGCCCTCAGCCCCTCCTTTCTAAGCCTGATTTAATGTCCTTGAGCCCATCAAAGATCATGATAGCTGGCTCTCTTTCCTTCCCCACTCTTGTATTAAGATGATGCTCCAATTCAAGATTCAAAGGCCAACCTTTCTTCCTTCTTTGAGATGAAATGTTCTGATCCAAGATTAGACCCAAGGGGGGCATTACGTTTTCCTATGACCCCTCATGGGCACTGGTGACCAGGCCGAATCAGAGCTTTCTACGAGTTGGGAGGGTTCTGTACCCTCTATCTCGATGAGTTGGATGCTTTCTCTTCCTTTCCGGCCCATGTTTTTCCAGAGGAAGCCATGAATTTTGTTTAACTCTGCATGAGTGGCATTACAACAACTTCCCCAGGTGTTTTGATTGAAGCCTATCACTCCACTTCTTACTCATCTGGTGCATGCTTGGCTCTGTCATTGATCTTCAGGATGAGGCAATGGTTCAATGGCTTTGGGGTTGATCTTCAGACCCAGTTGCTTCTCAAGGAGAAAAAGTTGATAAAAGCATGTGACATGATCTGTGTCCTGTATGGGCCCCTGGCCACAGCTCTGGTAGCAATCTAGGAACTGTTCGAAAAGGAGTGTTTCAGACTACTCAATGCCCTATTTTGTAGATAAACATAAGAATAAATTAGAAAGTAGTTCTTGCAATTAAAATAGCTGCTGGCATCAAACAACTAGAGAGAGGCAGTGGCACTATTAGCAGAGATCGTAATAATATGAAAGTAATGTAGCCATAATTAGACCAAATAAAAATGTGCCCATGCAGGATACAATGCCTGTCAGTGTAGATACACTGAAACAAATAATGTATAATCAAATAGATGTACAATATGTTACATTAAAAATATAGGAAACACTGTATGCCTCTCATTAAAAACAGTGTGGAAATTCAAAGTAGAAAATTTCCAAGAGTACATAAATGGTGACAAAAACTGAGAGTTGGTCGTGATATATGTATAGATTGCTTGCACAAACTATAGAAATACTTTTTGAGAACAGTGATTAATTGTGCCAACTGAGTGGATAATGGGAAACACAGAAACCTTAAACAGTGGAAAGGATGGCAAAAAAACCTGCGTTGAATGTAATGAAACGCTATTTCCTGGGTGAGACCCAGAGGCTCTCCGGAGCTATCCAGGCTGAGATGTATATCATTAGACTTTGCCATCAGCCAGTGTGTATAGAGTTCTAGGCCTAACGGGGACCACGATACAGAACCTGGTCCCCTCAGAGAGGCACGAGGAGCAATGGCCTATAGAAATGCACATTGGATTTGGAGTATTCTATGTCTGCCACTGACCAGGCCAGGCACCCAGAAAGGGAAGTGCCTCAAAACAAACTCCTATTCTGGTTAAAACGATGAAAGACAAACGAGTGGACAGAACTCTCCAAATGAAAACTAACAAATGAGCATGACGTCACACGAGCCACACTGCATGTCTGCGCAGCTCCTCCCCTCCCCAGGAGGGGGAAGGGGGGAGGCCAATACAATAAAATACACAATTTATAGCTATATATATTAATCTTAAATTACATTAGAGTACTGTATGGCAAACTTAATTATGGTGATAACAAAATGAGAACATGCGAACTAACATGTTCCGGAAAGTAGACGAGTTATCTCTGGATGTTCAGGCATATCCTGGATAGCATTGTTGATTTTCTCTCGGATCACCCGCACGTCCTCTGGCCACTCACGCTTCACATGTCGACGGGAAATTAACCAGTCCACTAATTTGCCAACATGAATATCGATTGGGATGTTTTGTTCCTGTAATGATATAAACCATATAGCACTACCTTACAGAAAGCTTGCTGGTTATCACCACCTTACCATCACAGTAACTTCTTAAGTTATGTAAATACTGTGAATCAACATTTTGCTGTACATATCAAATCCTAGCCACAGTGGTACAGTATTTATAGAAATACTACAAAGGTCATCAGCTTTATATTTAAAGACAAGGAAAGTACAGTTTAATAAATAATTTTAAATGGACAGCAAGGGAGGAACTGCCATTAATGATAATGATTAATGATCTGCCAGAGAAATGCTTTGCAAAGGACCCGCAATGTGGAATGACCTTCCCAATCACATCAAAGACTGTTCCTCTCTCAACAAGTTTAAGAGAAAAACCAAGAACTATCTAGTAAACTCCATGTAACCTACCTTAGCCCCTAAATGTCAACTTATGTCTTGCTATTTTCAAACAATACTGATCATTGACCAACTTGTATAATTGCTGTTATCTGCTATGTATAAACTTGAAGAAAATTGTAGTCTTCTGTTCATTTAGTTAAAATTACTTTTGCTGTTAAATCCAACATGTACCAAGCTTTTATCATCATTCTATTTTCCCTTTTTCAATTCCTTTGATCTCAATTAGTTTCAAGTTTTGGTCTAAGCGTTTTTCCCACATCTTGGCCGAAACGCTGTATGTATTAGTGGCTTTAACCCTTAAGCATAGTATGTACTAGCTCTATTTAGAAATCCAACATTATGTTTGTAACTCATCTTGTTCGTATGTACTTTTAACTGAATGAACTCTTTTGCTTGTCCATTCATAAATGTACAGTCTAGCCTGTACATAAAGGCTAGACTACTACATATATTTCTCCTCATAATTATCATCAAATAAAAAATTGCCCATTAGATTTCTGTATCTATACACTTTTAATAATTGTGTATAAAATGTGTAATTTAAAAAAAAAAAAAAAATCACTGATGGCCTGTAATGGTTTATTAAGACCTTCTAGGCAAAGTATAATTTTCAATAAAGTTTACTCTCAATTTAGTATTTTTCCTACATTGTTCTCTGCAGATGGAGCTGTAGAACTGGTTCTGGTTCAATTTTTAAATCTGGTTCACTTTACAAAGTGAGAGGAAGTGGAGGGTCTTAGAAATCAACCAGGGAAACCCCATCAGAAAAAAATAAGTGCAACAAACCCAATGATCACAGCTGCAAGGTAAATACCCTGACTGTGATGCACCTGCTTGCTACAAAATGGCAGCCTAAGTCACCTGAGGTCTTAGCCAGCCTGTCCTTCACTCAGGAGGCACTTGTATAAAACTCAATAGACTCTAGAATATTTCATTACCTTCTTATGGACCAACTATCACCTTAAAGTTACCTATATAGTACAGTATTTCTTTTTTTCAAAAATTTATTAAATAAATTATATCCAGTATTTTCATAAATTTTTTAACCCAAGCTTTTGTTGAGAAAGTGAAACTAAACAGCAGCATATAGTATCCGATCCATAAATAAAATAAACTGCAGCTTACAAAACTCGGTTTAGCAACACTGAATAATATCATAATTAAATACTGTAGTACCAGTTTGATTGCTTTGCAAAAGTTGTGCAAATATCTTTATATAAAGCAAGACAAAAATATCATTACACTTGCATAGCATGCAAACTACCGTTACTAACTAATTCATATTTCTATACATACTGTATCAGTAAACCCGACATAGAATTTTACAACCCAGGTTATGTACAACAAGATAAAATAAATGCAGAATTTAGCACGACAACTTTTCTATAATTAAACAAAATCTCATTTATGTGTATGTATATAATTTTTTTTATTTTATACATACACATAAATGAGATTTTGTTTAATTGTAGAAAACTTGCCTTGCTAAACTCTGCATTTATTTGAATATTAATGAATATTGAAGAAATAATAGCTCTCATGTCAAATTTCTTTGTTAACAATGAAATTAGGATAGGTATTGTGTTAACTTACTTAAATATACTGTACTGTATTTGTATTTACAGTATTGTACTTGGAAATTTTTTCATAAAATATACCTTGTTAATGTAAAATGCTAATAAATTCCCCAGCAATCAAATTATAGATTACCAATAATTTATTTAATATTAATTTCTGGTAGATTCCTGGTAGGAGTAATTAGTTTCATATGAATAATTAATTATTCATTAACTTAAAAGATTATGAAGACTGGCACAAGCAGCACTGCATTACAGTACTGTACATGTATATGTTTGTATGATAAAAAATATATCACCAACTTGCTTTTACACTTCAGGTTACAGTGTCCTGAACTCAAATACATAGTGTGATTCCCCCAAAGAGGTCTAAATCAAATATACAATCCTTAGGTTGGATAAAGTTTCATTATACAGACAATTCTTGAACATCAAGAAATAAAATATATATTTTTCTAATGTGGTCTAGTTTGCAACCCCACACTGACCTGGTTGCTTTCACACCACGTCTCACTTTTCCTAACTTTGCACTTGACCCCAAATAACCAAAGTCATCCTTCCCTACCCTCACCTAGTGTACTCAACCTCGCCTAGCATACACAACCTCGCCTAGCATAAACATGGGACCTGACAGCTTAGTGGACAGCGCTCTGGACTTGTAATTCTCCGGTCCAGGTTGATCCCCGGTGATGGCAGAAACAAAATGGGCAGTTTCTTTCACCCTGATGCCCCTGTTACCTAGCAGTAAAGGGTACCTGGGAGTTAGACAGCTGTTACGGGCTGCTTTCTGAGGGTGAGTGAGTGAGTGAGTAACTAGTCTTCATACCCACTAGTCCATCACTTCACAACACAATAATAATTTATTACTAATAACAATTAACACAACATGTGACAGGAACAACACATACATTATATTCCACGCCTCGCACCTATGGTATATTTATCTCAAGTAATATATAGACTACTAAATGCAGCAACGTCAATAGTAAACGTTGTTGCAGTACAAATATTTAACTAACATTCATGTTGCTTGGTGATAGAGACGCCTCCTGAGTTGACGTCTGGAACAGCTGTTGTTGTGATGGGCTCCTCACCTCGTCCAAGCCACCATCAAATAATACCCCCGTAATACACTATTTATTTATTTTTTTACCAGCCAATCAAACACTTAACTATAATTATCTGCAGTAATAAATTTTGCTGTGGCCTAGACTACATTTTAACTAAGCTACACTTAAATTTGAATTATATATTTTGCTTTTTAGCTCTAGTGATGGTGAATACATCTCCATGTGGCTGATGATGACATGGACTTTAAACTGACGTGTAGCGTTCATGGACTCTGCCCCGTTCTAAATCATGATGAAACTTTCTACATGATGAGTGGAGAACAGCATGGTGGATTTGAACAGTTTTAATGTTGTTCGTTCTTTCAAAATAATTTAAGATAATTCTTAAAGTTTTAAAAATGTTCTTAGAAAAAAATGAATTTCAGCAAATATAAGATTATATATAGATATGTATCTGTAATTAGTCACATTAATTTATAATATTAGTTTCTTTCAAAATACGAATACCAAATAGTTATATTAACTAACACAAAACTTGACTACAAAACCATGTATAATACTTAATAAAGAGGGTAGAGGATTTCCTAAAAAAAAAGGCTCTCCTTTCATCCCACAAGATATTTGTAAACAAAATACAATTTATTAAATAATCAAGTAGGGAACAAACAATGAGCTCCAATAGACAATCAATTCAATATATATGATCAATATGGTTTCATAACTTACAAGAATATGATGGACACCTCAGTGTTAACATTTCCTTTTTTACTAGTGTCTACCATTAAAAGTTGTAAATGTCAGACCCGTTTTCTAGTGAGCGGTAAGGACACGTCAGTTGAGAGCATCTCTGCTGCCCTCTCTCAGCTTCTCTGCTGCTTGTTGCGTCAGTCGACTCTTGATGGCCTTATCGCATAGTGACACGTCGCCTTAGATCTTGGCTGATATATATCGCCGCCGTTGAACGTCCACTTCAGTTTATATCGACATGCTAGACCAGTTGTAACTATACGGAGAGGAGACAGTGAACATTGCTGTAGGCTAGGCCTATATATAATTTCGATCGTAATTTATATCGTGGATGGACTGCAAACGTGCGAGAAAATGTTGGCGAGACTGAATATTTGTGCAATAGTGCTTGTGATTGGAGTGCAAAGTGGGGAAGTTGCAGAATGGCGGCAGCAAAGAGAAAAGGCTGTCGATGCCTTGTTTCACCAGCAGGAGGCGGCGTGGGGCGTGGAGCTGCTGCAGCAGGCCGCCAGCCAAGGAAACCTGGACGCCAAGAGTGACCTGACCCTAGCTCTTCTCCTGGGAATAGGTGTGACCCAGGACATCGCTGGCGCTGCGTCGTCGTCGAGCAGCCTAGTGAGCGTTGGGGGGGCTCGGGCCCACACCACGCAGGCCATCCTCCTCTCCCACAACCTGACTGGCACCTCCCTCACGCAGGAGGAGCGCCAGAGTCAGGCTGTGTCACACTACATGGTGGCGGCCATGAACAAGGACCCGCTGGCGCAAATTATGGTGGGCGGACACTATTGGAGTGGTGGCGACTGTCATGCTGCCCTTCAGTACCTGCGACGAGCTGCCTCTACGGTCGCCCCCACTGCCAGCGAGGAGGCCAAGGGTCGTAATCCGCCCAGATACGTATGGGCTGAGGACGACACAATGGCCTCTTTCTACCAGATGCCCTCTCTCGACGAGTTTCAATACCTGGAGTATTCGGCCATGAACGGCGACGCCGAGGCGGCCCTTAGAGCCGCCATCATCTTGTACAAGGGCGTGCCCGACATTGGGTATGATCCCGTGCGTGCCGCAGAGTATTTGCGGCAGGCTGCCGAGACCAACAGCACCACGGCCATGGTAATGCTGGCCGCTATGCACCTTCACAAAACGGTCCCCCCAGACAGAGATGACACACTCGACCTGCTCCAGATGGCACTCTCCCTCGGTGACAAGACCGCACACACATATTTAGGTCTTCTTTTCCTACAAGGGTTCGGAGATGTGCCCAAAAATTTAGCAAAAGCCAAAAAACATCTGCAACAAGGCATCAAAACGGGTAGTGTGGAAGCCTTCTATTTGCTTGGCAGAGTGTACGAGGACCCCGATAGCTCTGGGTCACTGGAGGAAGCCATGATGATGTGGGAGGTGTCCGCCACGTTCGGTCACGTGCCCTCAGCCTTCAGAGTGGCTGAGAACTACTGGCAGAAGATGAACAAGGCTGCCTCCACCACCGTTATCCCGGAGAGCACTTCGGCTGTGGCAGAGAACCTATGCCGTGAAGCTCTTCCGTTCTACAGGATGACCGCTCTCTCCGGAAGCTGGCAGTATCTGCAGGAAGCTGCCTACGACGACTACAGAGGAGGACGTTACTCCTCAGCGCTGCTCAAGTACTTGTTGCTCTCAGATCTGGGCTACACGTCAGCACATGTCAATGCGGGTCGTCTCCTGGACTCCGGGGTGGTGGATGTATACAGTAGCCAGGAAGCGGCCCGCAGTGAAGCACTTAAAGTGTGGCGCCGTGCAGCGGATGCCGGGGTAGCCGCGGGGCACCTGCGCCTTGGTGACATGTACTACTATGGCGAGGGAGTGCCACGGGACGTTGTGGCAGCAGCTAAGCACTACGGTGATGGTGCCAAGTTGGGCAGCGCTGAAGCCCTCTTTAACATGGCCAACATGAAGGAGTGGGGTGAAGGGACTTTCCAGAACATCACCAAGGCGAGGGTGTTATACCAGGCAGCCCTCGAGGCCAGTCCTGAAGATGCACTTGTTCCCGTAAGCCTGGCACTCTTCAGGATGGACGCCATACTTGCTATTAATGCCACGATCGGCCTCGACCTGTACTCTGTTGACTGGTTCCCCGCCAAACTCTCAAGACGGCGTAATTTATTCTCAAGTTTTCTTTCGTACTTTCCTGAATGGGATGTTGCTCTTATGGTGGCCTTGGCGATAGTTATTGTTGTGATGCTAACTGCTCGCTACAGGCGTTGATACGTGTGTGGTGCGCCGTATATGTCGGGCCATACGTCAGTGTTTTTAAACTTGTCTTCTCATGGCCCACTTTATATATAAATACATGACCGAGACCTAAGGAAAATAAATTATATCCAGAGTCTTTAGAAAAAACTTTAAACGACAGCATATTAGTTCAGATTAAAAAGTTAGCTAATTATTATCATATTTGTTATTACTGTTGTCATTATTATTATCAGTTGTGGTTAGTTTAAAGAACTAAAATGAGTTATCGTGCAACACTCCTCGGGGGTCGTGTTTCTGGTTACACTCTTCTTTCAAGTTCACCTATCATGTCCTCAGTCATGTCCTCAGTCACTCACAACTGAGTATCAATCATATGGACATTGTCAGTCACAGTCACTATATACCGTCGATATGTCTGTCCGTCGCCCTCACCATACGGAATGTCCGTAAATCACTGTCATATGACTCATCTCAATCACCATCACCAAACTGACATGCTTGTCAGTAACTCACCTTACGTATATATTTGCAGTCACCATAACTATCTGCAGTCACCATAACTATACGGGCATGTCTATCAGTCACCCTAACCATATGCACATGTCTGTTGTCACCATCACCTTTTAAATTTCCTTCATCACCATTTACCATATTTAATGCACGTCATTTCCTCACACAAACTGAATGACTTAATAATCATTCGTCACATACAAATAATTGTGTATATCTATATTGTGTAATCTAGTCATATGGAAACGTTACTAATTTGTGTATATAATAAAAATGAGCATATATTTGTAAATGTTACATTGGATATTTTTCCCGTGGATCTTTTCTGATTGTCATTCCATTTTAAAGTTATTTTTGACCACTATCCATCTGTGCAAATTATAATGTGAGGGGATTATACCTGTGTAGGCTACGCTTAGAGCTCCACATTATATACATATATATATACCGGGGGTATATATATTACATATATATTTTTTTTACATTTATCTAAATTTAAAGCCATGAATAACCTCCTGTGTAAGTTATGCCACAAGCCCAAATATTATCATAACTATGAATTTATCTTTGTATGTTATAATTTTGCTAATGTGATTGTGTATCGGGAAAAGCACACAAGATGTTAAATAATGTTAGTAGGTTAATATTACCAAGGCAACACCTTCGGGTAAACATACAACAAAGGTGTTTGTGATGATGGTAGAATAATTAAAACATTTTTTTTGTTTAGAATTATCATAAATTGAAATATATAACACACCACTACAAATTAATTTTCAAATGACAACAAATATAAATACTAGGCACACATAGGAGTCAAATCATTAAATAATAGCAGTCATTATATATATAAAGCTAATTATGACAACTCTTCTGTATTAAATAAGTTTACATTTCATCTATTCAAATTAATTACTTTGGCACTTTAAGTAACTTACATAATTGGTTCTGTACAAATCGGCTCAGAATGTTAATGTCAGATTTTTTACATTGATTATGTGCAAAAATATGTTACGAAGTTAGAGATTTCCTGCAGCTCTTGAGTTGTTTTTCGTTGCCATGATGTAATCGTAGTTTTATCTCTAATGTCTGCCGGGTATCTTATATTTTCGGAACTCTGTAATTACGCTTATCGAGGTCTCCATTGGCCAGTTAGTACTACTGACCTCTAGGATGCAACCCATAAGAATTGTGTAAATCCTGAATACCTATTGCTTGCTAGGTGAGTAGACACATCAGATAAAGGAAATGTGGCCAAACGTCTATGTCCTGCCCGGGGAAATTGAACCCCAGGAGGGGCAAGACCCTTGGTTGTGTGTCGGCGACGTAGCCCACTTAATTCTCGGTGTATATACCGTAAGTTTCCTTCTGGACTATGTATACTTGCTGGTTGGTCAGTAAGCTGTTGTGGTGGCCTTAATAACTCTCCATGACAGTGGCTGATAGGGTTTAAGCCCAATACCAAACCACGGTGGAGAAACCCAAGAATAATAGTGATAGGGTTGTGGAGGAGTTGTAGTGGTGACCATTGTTTCATACAGAGAGCCTCCCTCCTCATTCACACTTCTGTGTCGTCGCCGATCACACATGGGGAACTCAGCGAACAAAATATTTTCATGTGGGTGTTTTTAGAAGCATCTCGGCACAGTCAGCGCCCACCAAGTACACGTATTTTTTTAGTTTTTACAAGGATTTAATTAATTCTTTTCATATTTAATTATTTTGAAAGTGCATCTTAATTTCTTATTTATGTATTCATATTATATATGAAGCTAGTCCTAATAACAAGCAATGTTGTTGTTATTTTTAAGTTACAACTCTTGTATAATGAAAATAGTACTGAAAATTGGAGGGAAAATATATTTATTGTTCAGTAATGTTCCAATTAGTATAGTACTTGTGCGGCTGTGATCTATGATGCTGGCCACACCCATTAAGCTTTATGTGTCACTGTCTGTTAGGCTGTAAGTAAAGTACCAAATAACACGTTGGCTTATATGCATTTTGGAGTACATTTTGTATTGAATTCTATTTTCTATACTTTGTATATTTTATATAATTCAGGGAATATATTCTGCTGACTGATACATATGTTTTCGCATGATGTACAAAAATGTTAATCTATTGATATTATGCAACTTAGCTATGTGCCATGTAGACTCTAGATTAACTGTATATGAATTTGTTATATCGTTTTAATATCAATGTAATAACATTATTAATACTATATTTGGCTTAAAAATTAAATTTTTCTATTACCTTAGTAATGCTATGTAATGCACAGGTTTAACGTTAATGTGTCATGAATAGCCTCACCTGAGGTTTGAAATGTGATATATAGTCTAGATAAACATCCCCTCCTCACATGGCAGCTTCCACTAACATTAGTAATACAGTTTTGCCTAGTCTTGTGTTCCAAATAAAAGACAGTACAAATGTTACAGTGTTTTCATATCCCTTTTACCACTTGTGAATAGTATATGCAATTTGAAATTTACGACTGTAATAACTACTTTATAAGACATCTGAAATAAATGAAAAACAAAACATAAATATGCATACATGTATATACATGTATATATAACATTAATAATTTTGTAACTAGCGTCAAAAGATTGTTATTTGCTTAGCTAAACGAACCAGAGGGTTCAGTTCCTGAACCGATTATGTGCCTCTGTAATCCATAACACCACCGCCTACGGGATGGGTATGGGGTGCATAATAAAGAAAAAAATTGAATTGCAATTATGTTCAAGTGATATTAATATTATTTCCAGTTGAGGACAAATTTATATAAATTCTGTTGCGCTCCCATCGGAGCACAAAGCCTATCTGGTTTATGAAAAATTAATCTTGTGTCTCCCCCGAAGAATGTATGGTACATTACAGTGCGCGATGCGTTGGACCTTGAAGCCTATCGACTTAATTTGATAAGTGAATTATGACACAAATGAATCGAGGAGGCGCTCTAAAATAAAATAATTATAGAAGATTATATATAAAATTTATGCAGCGTAGTAAAAGACAGTGTCAATTAAATTTAGATTTAGCATAATGCAAATTTCAGAAGTGAATGTCCGGCAAAACCGCACCTAATTTCATTAACGCCATTTAAGTCTGTGTCAATGTCAAAGGCAAATAAATTAATATATTTACCTATAAACCTGTGAACAAATTGGAAGACATTAATCCAAACCATTTCGTTAAAAGGTCTAATGTAACTCACATAAGGAACAACAGTTTCAATTAAGCTACAAGCAACATAGGGCAGACAATAGGTGTTTTTCCCCCATACGGCAATAGGCCCATGGAATCGATTATCTACTTTTTATTGCTAAGCTTAAGAATGCACGGTAATGAGCTGCTACCCTATTCTATGAGAAATGTTACAGAGTGTAGATCAGTAACTAGTTATAAATTCATCTAATAACCCCATTTCACAGGATGGTTAGTTATACATGGAATCAGGGAGAACATGAAATGCGAGGCTGCTCTATCAGCCTGAAATAGCAAACTCTTGTCAGAGCAAAAGAGTATATTCCAATATTCGTGTGTATCAATGAATACACGCATTTGGAGCATTTGAAGAAATTTTGTGATCATGAGAGGCTTAAGTTTGTGTTTTGCCGGCTGAGATGAAGACTGAATTAAGGAACACATTTCTTTATTGTTGTGAACCATCCTAACAGTGTCGTCCATCAGAGGTGCTGTAGTCTAATATTACTGTGATTTGTGCTGTTAACGGATTAAACAAGTTCATTTGACATTCCTTTATACTCTGTGTAATCCTCTTATCATACACACACTGGCGAGAATATATAATTTACATAATGTTGGCAACAAAGATAAGGTAAGGAATTATTCCTGAGAAATTGAACATTAATTTCCCCTGTGATTGTGTACGGTCATCACAAGGTACTTCACATCGCCCTTAAGTGCGCTCAGTCCTCTGTATTCCTGTGTGTTATTTAGGGGTTTCTGAAGGCAAAAATATAAACTCTACAGTGCTTCACTGTGAATAAAATGTTAGGCAATACTACGCAGCTGTGACCAGCGGCAGGATAGCCTAGTACTCCCCTCGCCCACCACCTGAAAACATTATAATATCGATTACCAACGTTACTCAGAAAATGCCCATTTTCTCTGGTGACTCATCACCTGGCACCACTTTCTTTGATGCACCTTTCACATGTGCTCGTTTTCTGTTGGTGACACAAGAAAACCAGGTTGCCATGTGGCGGTGATCATGTCGGCTCAACGCGTGCCATGGAAACGCGAATAGCCGCACATATCACTCAACACCGCTGAAGGAGGCGGTGCAACCTCTCCTCGCTCTACCACACTCCACCTGCCACAACCGTTCAGTGCTGTGCCGCCTGTTTCCCTGAGAGGGTGTGACATAGCCGCTGCCTCTACGGACACTGCTATGGCTCGTTAATAATTGCGTTCCGTAGTCGCCCCGGGTTACGCATCTGCAATGGCCAAATGATTCACTTCTACGGTGCCGTGGCGTGTGTCTGTCGCTTAACGTAAACAAGTCAAGTTATCCCATAACTACACGAGCTGGAAGGAACGATGTGCAGATAAGTTAGACTAAGGCTTATCTATCGGATTTATGGAGGAATAAGCAGCCTAGAGAACGTAATTGAAGTGAAATGAAAGACATGATAATGGTTCTTGGGTAACAATGTGAGGCACGCAGGCTGCTCGGACGCTGGGACACGGAAGCAGCAGCAGCAGGAGGGGAAACTACTGTATTTCATCCTGGTGTATGGAGGAGGTAAGAGATATATTCTTCCCATTTTTCTTGTGATACTGGGGAACAGGAGTGTGTCTTGATGACATAATGTACATATTACATATAAATATTACGGATTTTTATGTGTAATTAATATAAAGCAGATCAGAGGTCCTGAATAAAGCAGATCAGAGGTCCTGAATGTATACGAGGATATTTATCAACATTTTATTATGACAAAAATATTCATGCAACTTTAATATCATTCGTGAGAACATTGCAAGTTCACCTTAGGTATGAAGTATAGGCCTACAGGCGGTATACAACAACAATACAAAAGTCACGGTTTCTTGCATGTACCTAGGTCTATTGCAGGCCTATGTTTAGCCCACCAGTCCTGCCTACCTCGCTGTACATTATGGGTGCCTCACATACCAGGGTCAATACTGGTTACGTTCCTATTCCAGGAAATATCTTAGCTATATAGCTCACAATATTCCTAACCCCAAGGACACCGTCATCCTGCCCTCTCCATCCCACCAAGAACACCCACATCCTGCCCCTCTCCATCCCACCAAGAACACCCACATCCTGCCTCTCCATCCCATCAAGAACACCCACATCCTGCCCATCTCCATCCCACCAAGAACACCCACATCCTGCCCCTCTCCATCCCATGAAGAACACCCACATCCTGCCTCTCCATCCCATCAAGAACACCCACATCCTGCCCCTCTCCATCCCACCAAGAACACCCACATCCTGCCCCTCTCCATCCCACCAAGAACACCCACATCCTGCCTCTCCATCCCATCAAGAACACCCACATCCTGCCCCTCTCCATCCCACCAAGAACACCCACATCCTGCCCCTCTCCATCCCATCAAGAACACCCACATCCTGCCCCTCTCCATCCCACCAAGAACACCCACATCCTGCCCCTCTCCATCCCACCAAGAACACCCACATTCTGCCCTCTCCATCCCATGAAGAACACCCACATCCTGCCCCTCTCCATCCCATCAAGGTGGTTAGGACTCAAGGGGGGGGGGGGGGTTACACAGTGGTGCCTGGGATAGCGTGTCACTCCTCCCATCCCGAATTCCACCCTTTTCATCCCATCACCTCCCATGACATTTTTATCTGCATCCCCATGTGCTCCCCCCCCTCGTCCCTCCTCCCATCCTCTCCCCTCACCCCTTGGGGACCCCACCCATCTCCCCATCTCCCTCTTCTCTCAGAAAAAAAACATTATTAAGAACGCCCCAACATCCGGCTTCCGCCCTCTTTCCCTTCTCTCAATACATTACATGTACAGTATTAAGAAATTGAAATGGAAAACTTCACACTCTACGGACATCTCATCCCCGATTTCATCCCAGAGCCGTTTAAGACTTTACGAATATCGCTGGTGGGTGTTGGGCTACACGTTATATTCTTAAAGCATATAATTTAGGCCTACCCTGACCAGCCTACACCAGTCCCGTACCCCACACACCATTTCCCATACTAATTTCGGTTAGTCTGGCCTCCAATTACCGAGAGCCAGAGACATTCTTTCTTTATACTATAGCTATGGTAGCTACATAATGTGTAGGCCGTATATTACTACATACCACCCCAAACACTAGTATATTAATGTATGTGAGCACCAACCGCAAGTATATTACTGTACGACCCCGGAGACCAGGATATAATGATATACAACCAACGACCATCATTACATTACTATATATATATATATATATATATATATATATATATATATATATATATATATATATATATATATATATATATATTGAATATGACCGCATATTCTGTATTTATTATTTTCTGGTTTAGGGCTTCTATCCCTCTAACTATTTTCTTAGCATCAGGGCTTAATTGAAATAGGAGTTCTCCAAAACTCATTTTCGTACTTTTAAGGTGAAGAAAAGAAGTGATTTACTATAGAGTGTATTACACTTATTTGTATAATTTGCACGACGTTTCGAACCTCCATGGTTCATTCTCAAGTGAACAGATCTTACAATACTAGTTGATTTTATACCCGCATTAGGTCAGGTGATAATACAATGAAGGTGAAAACATGGGGGGATACATAAGGGATAAACATAGGGGCTGCAGAAGGCTTATTGGCCCATACGAGGCATCTCCTATCTAAACACAAAGATTAATCCAGTGTAATTGGCCTGTTATGTTGGACATTGTCTTCTGTGTTGGCATCGATATGTTCTTGTCTTGTCCTTACTCTCATGGTGGGTAGAGTAAATAGTTCCGTGATTTGGGTGTTCATGGTAGGTCGCTCTATTCTTATGTGAATTGCCTCAAGAATTTGTAATCTTCTTGAATCTTGGGTTTTGTCTATTATGCAAGTATTCTTGTTCAACATTTCTCTTGTTGGAGTAAAAAGCACTACTCCTAACCAAAACGTAAACCTGATAATATTCTACAAAACCAAGAAGACTTCCGAACTCCTTATCAAAAACAGCCCGAAGCCGACGGAGAACCCTCTACAGCAGTCAAGCGTTGTATACATGTACACTTGCCCCCACGAAGGATGTAACCTTCAATGTAAGTACATAGGTATGACGTCGACCAAGCTGACGAAGCGTTTGACATGCCATCTTCAATCAGGTGCCCCTAGGAATCACATGAGACAAGCCCATGACATTACTCTAACAAGAGAAATGTTGAACAAGAATACTTGCATAATAGACAAAACCCAAGATTCAAGAAGATTACAAATTCTTGAGGCAATTCTTATAAGAATAGAGCGACCTACCATGAACACCCAAATCACGGAACTATTTACTCTACCCACCATGAGAGTAAGGACAAGACAAGAACATATCGATGCCAACACAGAAGACAATGTCCAACATAACAGGCCAATTACACTGGATTAATCTTTGTGTTTAGATAGGAGATGCCTCGTATGGGCCAATAAGCCTTCTGCAGCCCCTATGCTTATCCCTTATGTATCCCCCCATGTTTTCACCTTCATTGTATTATCACCTGACCTAATGCGGGTATAAAATCAACTAGTATTGTAAGATCTGTTCACTTGAGAATGAACCATGGAGGTTCGAAACGTCGTGCAAATTATACAAATAAGTGTAATACACTCTATAGTAAATCACTTCTTTTCTTCACCTTAAAAGTACGAAAATGAGTTTTGGAGAACTCCTATTTCAATTAAGCCCTGATGCTAAGAAAATAGTTAGAGGGATAGAAGCCCTAAACCAGAAAATAATAAATACAGAATATGCGGTCATATTCAATGAAACATGTTTGAAAGAAAACCTGCTGCCAGTATACACCAATATATATATATATATATATATATATATATATATATATATATATATATATATATATATATATATATATATATATATATATATATATATATATTATGACCCCGACCACAGCATAATTTGTAATATACTGGTTTACTTTGGTGGTATATAGTAATATAATTGTTGTCGTGGATCGTATAATAATATACTGGTGGTCGGGGGTCGCATATAACAGTATACTGGTGGTCGGGGGTCGCATATAACAATATACTGGTGGTCGGGGGTCGTATATAACAATATACTGGTGGTCGGGGGTCGTATATAATAATATACTGGTAGTCGGGGGTCGTATATAATAATATACTGGTGGTCGGGGGTCGTATATAACAATATACTGGTGGTCGGGGGTCGTATATAACAATATACTGGTGGTCGGGGGTCGTATATAACAATATACTGGTAGTCGGGGGTCGTATATAATAATATACTGGTAGTCGGGGGTCGTATATAATAATATACTGGTGGTCGGGGGTCGTATATAACAATATACTGGTGGTCGGGGGTCGTATATAACAATATACTGGTGGTCGGGGGTCGTATATAATAATATACTGGTGGTCGGGGGTCGTATATAACAATATACTGGTGGTCGGGGGTCGTATATAACAATATACTGGTGGTCGGGGGTCGTATATAACAATATACTGGTAGTCGGGGGTCGTATATAATAATATACTGGTGGTCGGGGGTCGTATATAACAATATACTGGTGGTCGGGGGTCGTATATAACAATATACTGGTGGTCGGGGGTCGTATATAATAATATACTGGTGGTCGGGGGTCGTATATAACAATATACTGGTAGTCGGGGGTCGTATATAATAATATACTGGTGGTCGGGGGTCGTATATAACAATATACTGGTGGTCGGGGGTCGTATATAACAATATACTGGTGGTCGGGGGTCGTATATAACAATATACTGGTAGTCGGGGGTCGTATATAACAATATACTTGTGGTCGGGGGTAGCATATAACAATATACTGGTGGTCGGGGGTACCATATGGTGATATAATGGTGGTCGGGGGTAGCATATAGTAATATACCGGTGGTCGGGGGTCGTATATAACAGTATACTGGTGGTCGGGTACCATATGGTGATATAATGGTGGTCGGGGATCGTATATAGTAATATACTGCTGGTCGAGGGTACCATATAGTAATATACTGATGGTCGGGGGTCGTATATAACAATATACTGGTGCTCGGGGGTCGCATATAACAATATACTGGTGGTCGGGGGTCGCATATAACAATATACTGGTGGTCGGGGGTCGCATATAACAATATACTGGTGGTCGGGGGTCGCATATAACAATATACTGGTGGTCGGGGGTCGCATATAACAGTATACTGGTGGTCGGGGGTCGCATATAACAATATACTGGTGGTCGGGGGTCGCATATAACAATATACTGGTGGTCGAGGTTCAGACATGTATCAACATAAAATATTTGCTTGGAGAGAGCAGGTGTTGCCATAGAGATCTCCTGATATTCTTTCAACAGAGAATCACTCCTAAACAAAAAAATATCCTCACAATGTCCTGAGGTCACCCAGGGCCGCCAGATTCAATTTACAGCTTCGTGAAGGGTCAGATATTTCTGGTGACCATGACCTCAACGTCTGACGAATTGGGGTCAAAATATAGATTTCAGGGCCGTGGAGAGGTAAC